TTGCAATTATCTTCAAAGCAACTAGGTAAATGTCCCAACTTGTCGGTATGAGGGTGCTCGACAAAACATTTATCTATCATTGCTGGGAAACTTCTCATATTTTGCTCGATCAAAGTCTTCAACAAATATAGATATTCTTTCAAAACGTCGTCACAATCATTTGTTCGACAATTGAAGTCACAATGCCATTTCAATCTACCAGATTTATTCTTAAACAGGGGTAATATATTCATTGCTTGACCATTGGAGTTCATAACAATGACTATACCAGGTTTTATGTTAGATTCTGCCTCAAGGATTACGTCAGATTGGTTGTCAGGTTCTATAACTGATTTGATATCAAATTTGAAATTGAATTTATATGCGGTTTCGTAGAAGAAAGCCTCCGTGGAAACAGTATGCACGGATGGGCCACATAGATCATCTGTAGTTAAAGCATTTTCATCAAGAAGATTCTTAAGACGGAACTCTGCAGATTTCTTTATAAGTCTCATTAAACGATTCAGTTGTGAATTATAATAATTTCTTCGTTCTAGACACCATTTAATAATCTTCTCAGCTTCTATTCGAGCTATTGCATCATTGCAATTCTGTTTTTGATATTTCTTTCGTCAAATTCTGAATATATTGTTCAGGGTTTGACTTGAGCGGAATCTTCTCATTTTGCACTTTTTCTGTAGATGATGAACGTTTTTTATCTCTTTTAGACTTTGAATTAATGGATTTGTCGACTTCTGATTTTTTTGGAGGCTGACGGTCAAAAGTTTCACTCGATTTTGGTAAATCACTCTCTTCATCGTTGGGATTTTCTACCGACAAGATTTGTTCACAATCATCACCTATGTCTGAAGTAATCATCTTGTTGACTTCAGATCCTTCATTCATAGACCCTTTTATACATATTCCATAGTCAGAATGTTCATGAAGTTTTTCTTGTCCACCTCCGTCATTTCTACTCGACGCCTCCAAATTTATAGAGTCGTCAAGTATATCATTTGTTTCACCAAATTTGTCAACAGCGCAATCAGCCTTCAAACGTTTTCGATAATTTTCCATTTCTTTTTTTCGAATTTCTTCCAATGTCAAAGTTTGAGGGCTATTGAAGTTAGATATTGTGGGGAAAAGCGTCAATTCATGATTCTCCAATATCATTAGCAGATGTTTCCGCATTGCTGCTATATCATATTGTACATATTCAGGTTTTTGACGGAAAGCAAGTGTTACAGCACAAGCGATAGCATGTATACCACAATCAACAAGATTAGTTTGACTCTGAATATGAGGAAATCTGACTGTCTTGTCATTTAATACATAGAAAGGATACAATTGTTTCAAGAAAATTTTGTGATTCTCACATAGCTTGTGACTATTTAGAGAATCATACATATAGATATTCTTTCCATCATAGAATGTACAAACCCAATGCCCGTCTTCATCTAACTCACTCGTGCCTTGACTATAAAGAATTTGTATATGTTTCTTAGCGGGATGCACAGCATTGATTTTCTCGGGACGCTGTAGGAGGAGTGTGTCTTCGGGTTCATAATTCGAAAGAGCGGAGAGTATTTTATTGAATAAATTAATGTGTTGATCTTTGAGTCGCTGATTTTCAAGTATAATTTTTTTATCATTTTCACTGAGAACAGGGATTTTTAAAGATCGATGACAACGACGTTTGGATGGAAAACATGGACTTTCCTTGCTACGCTTTTTCTCTTTGTTTTTATCAACAATGAGATTTTTAGTTAATTTACTAGTTTTTACAGATTTCAGATTTTCAATGTCAAGTTTAATTTTTTTGGAAAACGAAACCGACTCTTCGACATCTCTAGTTCTATCAATTGTATTTTTCTTTCTACAAGTCCTCTTCTCTTCTGTGATTCCCCTCTGCCAAGTATTACTAGACATTGTGGAGAACAAATTCGAACATTTCTTATCAATTTTTTCATCACTTTGATCACTATCTGACGAATGGAATCGTATGGCGTTACATTTTTGGACTTGTGAATTACATCGATAACTTGGGAATCGTGAAATAGTTCGAGATTCTAATATTTTCAATAAATGTGGTCTCATCTGCTTGACATTATACATCAAATCCTGCGGATTTTCATGATATGCCAAGGATACAGCAAAGCAAATAGCCATAACTCCACAATCAGAGCCGTTCTCTTGTTGCTGAACCTGGCAGAATTTCACTGGATTTTTGTCGAAGTCATAAAAGGGATAAAGTAAATTGAGAAAGAACTGATGATGCCTGTGTAATACCCTGGAATTCATAGAGTCGAAAATATAAATTGACTGGGTATCATAGTAACTACATACCCAGTGGCCTCCGTCCATTCGAAAAGCTTCTGGGTCGGAGAATTCTCTTTCCAAACTAAATAACCATTGAATATGTTTTTTCTTCGGATCAATTGCCAGATCACTGTTCAATCCATCGTCGAAGAGAGCCATTTGAAAAGCCCAATATCGTTTGTATTGAAAACCAAACTGTTCTTGTAGAAGTTGACCAAGACTATCCATTTCCTCGTCTGTGAGCCACCCGCTCTGACGAGTACCTAGTACGATTTCACGATTGAAGCGAATCATGTTTTTGTGAGAGATTACGATTTTTTCCCAGTAAAGTCAAACGAATAATGCATGCAAGTTTATAACAGTTTTTTTCAAACAGTTTTCAAACTGACGGCTTCGTCTGAGCCGGTGAAACAGTACTTGAGACTGGCAGCTACGTCTGAGCCGATAAAACAGTGCTTGTGACTGACAGCTACGAATGAGCTGATGAAACAGCGCTTAAGACTGACAGCTAATATAAAGCTGAGAATACCAATATTCAAAATTGGAAGAAAAAAAAGGACTAAGACTACCTACTCTAGGGATGCGAGAAGAGAAGGAAAAGGAAAAACTTACTTTTATGGCAACAAAAGACAACGACTCACTGAAGACCCTTTTCAATGTCTAACTATCAGACCGAACTGCGGGTGAAAAATGAATAATTTAATTTCGACATTTAAAATCAATCAGAAACGTGACCGCGACATATTGGTGTGATACCAGCATCCTCGAATACTTTCCCTTTCTATATAATCAACATCAACAAGTGTTTTTTGATATTTAATTATGTTCAATTATTTTGATCTTCTGCACGTGACGTTTTTCTCCTGCGAATCACTCAAATGCATTTAATTTATTCTCAATTTCTCGATTGTTTTTCTTCTATCAATTCCTAATTTCTCATGTAATAATTTTATGTATTCGTCTGATCTTCGATTTCCCATGATCAAAAATGACAATAAAGACATTGGAGAAACGCTAACTGCATCTGTTTTAATTCTGATCATTACTTAGGATTATTATTGGCCTTTGATTATACCGCATACAAGATGAAAGCCCTAGTAGTGAAAACCACGACAAACACCACTCGTTATTAATCACTGCAAAGAATTTATCACTGATTTACACTTTCTATGAAGGTTATGTTCATGAATTCTTGATGGCATGAAAGCGCGGGCATATGGCAGCGATACCAATGCTACCTAATAAGAAGGGAAAAGAGTTTGTTCTTCGATGACATTCTGAACGATAATGCAGTATTTGAAAATCAATTAATTTGGAGAGAAAAGACGGAAAATTGGAAACCAAAGAAAGTACGAAATCGGGTAGAAACCGATGAAATGATGACTATTTTGTTGTCTCCGAAACTTTGCTCTTTTTTGGTTTCCAATTTTTTGTTCTGTCATCAGTTGATTCAATAATTTTTCGTCGCAGATGTTTAACCCTTGATTTATCCGTTTCGTTCTATTTTTTTTTATTTTTCTATTTTTAAATCAGTAATTTTCCTATTGTGCCGTCCCGGGGTTTTCATTTTCAATTTTTTTTCCAATCGTCTTTCAGATCAAATACATAGACTCTTTCGTGGGGTTGTCGTCGAGGGTAGGAAACGATTAAAAAATCGAGGAAAGAATCAACAATTTAGTTCATCATAAACTTTTATTTGCAGAGAATAAACAACAATTATCCATAACATTTGGTATGAAATTATCTCTTCTCTCTTTGTTTAACTATCCATCTAGTCTAACCAGTTTCATCCTTAATTGAACTGCAAATGATTTTACGTTACAAGGCATCATAAATTTTTATTCATAAATGTAACGTACAACAATGAATTTCCTCAATAGTATGATTAATCAATAGGCCTTCATTTGTGGATTTGTGGATGGATAATCACATACAAAACTATGATGAATATGGGAAGTCGAATTATGAACTATGGAATGCAATTTTAGAGAATCATCGGAATTCAGAGGAATAATTAACTCAAAACGTCTGCTATTTCCCTCCTCATTAATACCAATTCCAAATTGACTGAGTAATCATAAAAGTAAGAAACTTAATTTCAGAAAACGTTTGAGAGGAAAAATCTTTCAGGTCCTACAGGAACAACATTGTTTATCTCAAGACTGTTCGCTGGAGAACAAAAGAGAAAAAAATTTGGGAATAAACATGGGAAAAAACAATACGTAAGATTAATTGAGAATTTTCCTAAATCCCTCTGCATCATATGAACGTTTGAACATCGTCTTGAAGTTTTTCAAGTAAAAGAATAGGGATGAAAATAGGAAACTCTCTGGAGAACAAAAGAGAACAAAATTTCGGCAATAAACATTAGAAAAAACAATACTTAAGATTAATTGGGAATTTTCCTAAATCCCTCTGCATCGTATGAACGTTTGAACATCGTCTTGAAGTTTTTCAAGTAAAAGAAGAGGAATAAAAATAGAAAACTGGCCATAAAATTATTAAAAAAAAAAAATATTTCAACGATGGGAGGAAGAAATGGAGGAGTTACATCGGATTTCCGTATCCCTGAGAATTGCGTAGCTGGTAAAATTGTCCTCTCCAATACCTGAAATGAAGACACATTTTATAGCGAAAAAATATTCCAAAAAGTCCATGAGTTCTTATCACAAACAGTTTTTTTTTATTTTTCATTATGTAACCTACGCTGCTGAGTGTTGATAACGTTTCGCTCCTCCTCTTTGATTGTTGTGTCTCTGGAATTTTTGTCGTATCTGGGGCACATTTTGGGCATGCAGAACCTGATGAATCGGGACACTTTGCAATACTAGTCCTTGCTGTTGAAATTGTTGCTGTGATGCATCCATAAGACCTGAGTGGAACATCTGATTGCCCATCGATCCTGAACCAGAAACAGAATTTGTTCCATCTGACATTATTTTCCATTGTGGAAATTGTTCAGCCTCCTGTGATACATAATAATAATGTAGGACTGGAGCTCGTGACACTTGTTGCCCACAAACGATCCCAGATCCAGGCTCTTGCTGAACAAAAGTTGGTAAGGCCTGCTGTGATGTCCCTGACAGTGTGAAACCGGAATGCAAGTTCTGTGCTGCCATTACAGGAGCCCTGGAGAATTGAGTCGTTGCCTGGGGGGACACGAACTTCGGGGAGTGCTGGAAATGTTGCCCGAATACCTGAGATTGTATGCCACCAGTTCTAACATCTCCATGACCATGGTTTACCACCGTAGATATTGGCGAGGCATGTAGGTACATCTGTGAGGGGACAGAACTTGTTTCTCCTGACAAGTTCATTCTCACAGGAGCTTGAGTTACATGAGAAATAAATGCTGGAGTTTGAGATGATGGTAACGGAGCTTGTGATGATTGTGTCAAACTAGACTGCTGAATCTGTATGGGTCGAGACAGAGCTAATTCCTCTGGAATATTCTGAGGTAGATATTCATGAGTCAATGGCCATGTTGAATTTTGTGATGAGCTTAGCGTAGGAGATTTTTCATACCAATAGCCCTGATTCACAAGCATAGGAGGTGAGGTTGTTTGCAATCCAGCCTGATATGGATATTGAGACTCTAAACCTGATGTTTCCAGAGGCACAGACGCTTGCAAATAGGATCTTGATGGATTTTGATCATGAGTTGTTGATAGTTGGCGAGGCATCGGAGTTTGTAGTGATTGCCCTTGAATACTCACAGACTGTCCTGCAGGCAACGGAGTCTGTGCTCGCGTCAGAAACGATGGAGATTGAACTTCTCGTCTCAGAGACAATGACGACTGTTCTGGCGGTATGGTAAGCTGAACTTGCTGTTGCTCAGGCAATGGAGAGTAAAGTTGTAGTTTTGGAAGAAGTGAAGACTGAACATGTTGAGCTTGAACTAAAGGGGGTTGTTCCTGTTGTCGTGCAGGCACTGATGTTTGTGTTGAAGGCAAGTGAGATAGTCCTGCGGGTCTTAGAGGCAATGAAGTCTGTGATTGTTGTCCTGTGAGCAAGAAAGTTCGCAATGCCTGTCCAGAAAGCGATGAAGTCTGAACCTGTTGTCCAGAACACGCTGAAGTTTGTGGATATTGTCCTGGATGCAAGATAGGTTGCCCTCCTTGGCCTGTAGACAAGAATGTTTGTACTGGACGGCCTGCAACTTCCGTTACCTGTCCTAAAAACGATGGACTCTGCATTGTTGGTCCTGCAAGCGATGTCATCAAATTTTGTTGATGCGGAGGCAGTGGGGGCTGAAATTGTTGTGTTAGAGACAATGGAGACTGAAGTAGTTGTTCTGGGCGCAATGGAGGCTGAAGTTGTTGTTCTGGAGGCAATGGAGGCTGAATTTGTTGTTCTGAAGGCAATGGAGGCTGAATTCGTTGTTCTGAAGGCAATGGAGGCTGATGTTGTAGTTCTGGAGGCAATGGAGACTGGACTGCAGGCAATGGAGGCTGAATTCGTTGTTCTGAAGGCAATGGAGGCTGATGTTGTAGTTCTGGAGCCAATGAAGGCTGGACTATAGGCAATGATGGTGCTGGAGGCAATGACGATGGCACCGCAGCAACTGACGACGATTGTGTTACCTGTGGGACTGAAGATTGCGGTTGCGTCACAGCAACTGTTGCCGAGTGTGTTGCCTGTGAGGTTGAAGCGCTTGTTGAAGCTGGAACCGTCGAATTCGCTTCAACCATTTCTGTTTCCTAATCAAAGAGCATTCGTATTTTTCACCGAAATTTATTTCAATTTAAATCAAATCATTGTCAAATTTTCGAACATGCAAGAATGTCACTTGAATCTCCTACATTTTTCATGCGTATTTTTCTAACGTTATGATTGTCGGAAACTCAGAGAAAAATTACGAATAATTTTTTCGCTTGAAATTGAAACTCCTACGATCTCCGGCTTGATATTTCGAGGTTATTATAATTCCACAAATGATGAAAAATCCAAGTGTTGAGGTTATTGTCAGATTTTTTTTATTGTTGAAATCATATTCCATTGGGGATTTTTGGGTTATGCCCAGAATTTTTTGACTAAAAATCCACAAATGATAAAAAATCCAAATGTTGAGGTTATTGTCAGATTGTTTTTATTGTCCAAATCATATTCCATTGGGGATTTTCGGGTTATGCCCAGAATTTTCTGACTAATTGAGGTTATATTAATTATAAAAAGAAAATCCAAATAGTAAGATTATTACCATTCTTTTATTATTCAAATCATGTTCCACTGGGGATTTTGGGGTTATGCCAACATTTTCCGACTAAGTTGTACTGAAAAGGATGAATTTTTTTCGAGCTCTTTTGCCCCTCAATATTTTTATAATTGAAAATTTTGAAAATAGAAAAACGGAAGAGATTCTGTGAATTCGGACGACACAGACAAGGAACGACAATTATTTCGTCTATCCACAAATACTTACAAATTCAGCAGCAATTTGGCTCAAAATTTCGGAACCCTCCATTCTTTTCACTTTTTTTCTCGTAATCCCTCGATATTTCTACGCAATGACACAAGTATTTCCCGAATATTTCTACGTGACACAAGTATTCATCATTAAACCAAAATACAGCTAGCAACTGGTGATCGAACGAACGACAACAACAAGATGGCGATATTTGGATTCGGACTGTTAGAACCGGCGACCTTGTTCCCGTCCCTCGCCACTGCTGCCAACATGGCAAGAAAAATCTCCGGTTGAGAAATTCTGGACGAGAAAAGAAGGAAAAAACTACAATCGAGAATTTTGCAAATCAACTTATTCGTTATCCAGTGCATAAAAAAAATCATTAAAATTTGGAATGAAAAGCCCATAGCAATATTTTATAATAAAAGTGTGATCAAAATTATGCTAAAGTGTGTTGTTATGGAAAAATAAATGGAAGAACTTTTTTGTGGAGTGGAGGGGGGAGTTTGCTCGCGTATATAGACGTTGTGCCCGTACTTGGCGTCCGGGCCACAACTGTGGCCCGTGATAAATATCCTTGGAGTTCCTTGGCCATCGCCTTTTGGCAACGCTTAAATCATCGACATGTATAGGGGAGGGTGTGCCTATACCGCCCACCTAAGGGGAAATTCCAGTTTTATATTTTATATTTCAACATGAGTATAAAAAACGTATTTGTGAGACTTCCTTAACTATTGAACTCGTTATTCTCGAAGTGTAGATGCCTAATTCTCTTTAGAATCCACAAAATTCATTGAAAATGAAAGACAGAGCCTATTGAGCGGTACTACCCGCCGTCCGGTAATACCGCTCGACACGATTCCAATGCCGCTCATAGGGTTTTGCGTGTATCGCTCGCGCCGCAACCTAACCTGT